AATAGAGACCACATTTGATATGTTTTTGAACACAACTAATTTTTCGTTTTTTCGTAATTATTTTATTATACTGACATATAATGAACATGTTACATAATAAGATGAATATGTTTTCAAATAAGATGAACATGTTACAAATTGAAATAATACATATTCATCTTATTTTATAACATGTTCATCTCATTTTGGTAACATATTCATCTTATGTTATAACATGTTCATCTTATTGTGTATGTAACATGTTCATCTTATTCTATAACATGTTCATTTTATTATGTAACATGTTCATCTTACTATGTAACATGTCCATCTTATTATAGATTTGCGTCATAATCTTCCAATAAGATAAATTAATTGTTAAAAATGAACATGTTCATCTTATTCTATAACATGTTCATTTTATTATGTAACATGTTCATCTTATTTTAGAACATGTCATCTAAATTTCATATGTAAAAATGTAACATTTTCATCTTATTCTATGACATGTTCATCTTACTCTATAACATGTTCATCTTACTATGTAACATGTTCATCTTACTATGTAACATGTTTATCTTATTATAGATTTGCGTCATAATCTTGCAATAAGATAAATTAATTGTAAAAAATGATAAATTAGTTGTGTTCTAAAAAATATCAAATGTGGTCTTTATTTGTAGAGAATGAAAAATTATAAATTTTGCTATTTTTATTTTTATTTTTTGATACAAAATATGAATGATAATTTAATTTATATAATATGATATATGAAATTCATTACCCAATAAAAATGAGACATATGTCTCATTTAAAAAAAAATTACTTTACCTCTTTAGCTCACGCACTTGCTTTTGGAGGGTGTATTTCACAACGACCTAAGTATTTGCCTAAAAATTCATGCAATCGCGTGAGTCCCACACACTATGTATGGAGCATGGACCATCAAGTTATTGACGTGTTTCTTGCTGCTGCTCGATTGTTCAAAAGCAGGGCCCACTTTTCCGCGAGTTAGGTTATGATTAGGTGCTTTGGTTCATGCACCTTATCCTTTATTATTATTATTATTATTATTATTATTATTATTATTATTATTATTATTATTATTATTATTATTATTATTTAATTCCTTAAAAAAAATATTTATTATTATTATTATTATTTAATTCCTTAAAAAAAATATTTATTATTATTATTATTATTATTATTATTATTATTATTATTATTATTATTATTTTTGAAACGGTAGAGATTTTATAAAGCACACAAAAAATACAAAAATAAAATTAGCTCATAGGTGAATGATACAACTGAAAGCTCAATGAGACTAAAAGGACGTATCTGAAGATCGTCCAGAGCCTACGTTAGAACAACAAACTCACAACACAACATACAAACAAAACACAACTCCAACAAGGAAGACTCACCGATCCCGCAGGGATAATACTCACTCTCACTCGAGCTAAAAAGACAAATTACCAAACACACCAAAATAAACTAAACACACCAACGAAACAAATAAACACAGAAAACAAACCAAAATAAACTAACAAGCAGCGAAAGAAAAAAAAACAAGCCCTTCCACAGTAGAATGTCCAAGCCGAACCAGAGGACAGCGAGCCAATCTCAAGTAAAACTCCGCGGCCCAAGAAAACCGCCCCCCAAATTGCCCAAAAAGGCCTAACGGAAGCCGACATCCAAGCCACGAAACACACCAGAAAGTCGATCCGCCCCCAGACGGAGACACCAAAATCGCCTCCTGAACCACCGTTGCACCGAACCGACTAACACCACTAGCGGAAACCGGCAGCACCAGTCACATTGATGTATAATAATAATAATAATAATAATAATAATAATAATTATTATTATTATTATTATTATTATTATTATTATTAAATAATTAGTAATTAGCTTGGGGAATAAGCTAGGGTTTAGATTGAGAGCTTATTTAAAAAGTTCTTCTGCTTTGTTATGAGGTGGTGAATTTGATAATAAATCTTATATTGTGAGTTTTGTGTATTTTACGAGAGAGTATCCCGT